ATTACTATGTTCAAAATGAAGAATGAAAATACAAAAGTTACCGACTTTAGAGTGTGGCCACGGGTTTGGCCATCACAGTCACAAAATTTACTATTTGCATGCGGTCAAATTAGCACCTGTAATGTCTTCAGCCAGTGCACTCTCCCTTGCCTCCATGTAGACCTTCTTCAGTGGCAAATCCTTGGTCATTTGAAGAACAGCAGTGAAGTTTTTGCTAAAGCGGCGACAGCTGTTGTCTTGGCAGGGATGCATTAAATCAACCTCATCACACAACTGGAAATGAAAAGAGCAGAATAGACAAAAGAATGACATTTTACATTGAGGATTTAAACTTTTGACATGTTTAAAGACACAGACTGGAGATAAATGTAAAGTGCTTTAACCCTTGATCAAAAAATTCTAAAGCTAATAAACAGATTGATTAATCAGTTAGTACAGAAAATAATAATAATCAGATTTAGAGACAAAAAAAAATCATTAGCTGTTTCCCCAATCATCTTAACAATTCTTGGGTTGCAGACAGTGTCCCTGTGCAGAGCTTACAGCTGTCATATTCAAAAATCCCAAATCCCACTAAGTAGGTGGAATGGTACAAATGTGTACCTTCCATTGTTTAAAATCCCTTTGAGCGGGAAACAAGTTAGATGCGATAAATGTTGCTTAGAAAACGTTTTTGTTAATAGCTATATTTACATACTAGCATGTTTTGAGAAATTATTGATTTTTTTACATTGCTGTACAAGGTTAGTGACTATTTATTGACAAAACACTGGAATACGGCGGGCAGACAGACGCTGACCATTCCACCAACAGTCTAAATAGTCCACATTTGTACCTTTCTTTCTTAAAAACTTAGCTAACTGCTAGCATTCACCCATGTTAAAGCTAGCTCTTCGGACTTTTGCTAACTCTACTGTAAAATTACACGTTGTAATTTTTATAAAAACACAAAATCACACCCGACTTACCTCTAAACCTTTGCGCCTCGTCGTCTGACACATCAATGCCTTCTTCCATCAACTTTATAAGGAGCTCCTCCATCGATAACCCCCTGAGAGTCATTTTCTGCGTCAACGATAGTCAGCGCGGAGGCGGAGCACTCATCGCTGCTGGCTTTTCAGCCTTTGGGATTAATGCGCGTTGCGAACTTGACACATGAAAATACAACATTGTGGTATTAATGCGCAGTTGTTTAGAAACCGTTATGCTGTCTTGGCGAACTATATTTGTAACTTACAAAATGTAGTCACCGTAACATAAAAATCTGCTTGACATTTTAACTTCCAAAGAACCTCGGTTTAACTTGATGTTGCAAATTCCATAAAAACCTCCCAATTAATGAACAATTCTAGGATGTAGTAAAAGCGAAAAAGTAAATGGCCAAACATAACAGTAATATGATTTCACGTTTTTGAAGGCTACAACCAAGATTTAAAACATTAAAAATTATAACTGGAACTTAATAAAATGGAAATGGACCAGTTTTTTTTAACATCATTTGGTTGTGCCTGCATAGTGTGTTTTTTTTAAAATATAATTTAACATAACTTACACAAAGGTAGGTTACAGATATTCTTTGCATCATAGGATAATTTACATACAGAGGAGAGGACCAACAGATTTGATTATAACATGTAGCTTTTATGAGCACACTCACATCTCATATGAATTTTACAATTAACCAGGCCCATCCAGATTTTCCCATGCTGACCCATTACCACATTCTGCCACTGTCACTGCAGTACAGGTCAAAATGGTACAGATTTGTACTTTAAATTGTACCTTTAAAGGGGCATTTCTGGACTTTTAATGGCCAGTATTGTACTTTTAAGGGAACATTTTAAAAAAATGTACCTATAGGTACAAAAATGTTCTTCTCTCATACCTCTATTTCTGAGAGTGCACGAGCAAACTTCAGCCAGAACCTGCAATACAAACCCATCAGTTATCCTGCACTGGTGCAGGAAAGTGAAGCCAAGGATTCAATCCCAAAAACTGTGATTCCTTCAGTGTCTCCTGGAAGCTGGCTCCAAAAGCAAGTCAGCATCCAGTCTGGTAATAGAAATGGTTCTAATCTTTACAGTTTCTCAGATTGTAGTTTCTCAGGCAGCTTGTTAACATAATCAGCCCTTCACCTTCTTACCAGAATCATACAGTCTAAAACCTGCACGCCTCATCTGGGTAAGAAAGATGAAGTCATTGTGGAAGGACCTAGAACCTCCATTCCTTCTATCAGTGATTTAAAAAAGACCTCTGTGTCTATGAGAAAGTCTATTTTATGAATTTGGGCCATACTTTGCCTAAGAAAAGGAGTATGCTCACTGGCTGACATGCAAGCTGTTTCACAGTCATAGCCGTCCTCTTGTCACTGTGGGTTTTTGTTTTTTTTTTTTAAATCCAAGATAGCAACGGTGACAACATTTGTCTTAAACACTCGTGATCAGACTTCATCAACCAATCATGGTAGTCTTCAGCATCTTTTAAATTGTCTGTGGTCCATGTATGGTCACTTCTGGCTCTCCTCAGTGTCACCTCACCTCTTCATTTGTGTGCAGGACGGCCAGTAGCTGGTCCTGCGGGGAGAGAGAGCGCCTTCTTTCTGCAGAGAGAGACGAGGCAGGAGGCCACATTTCTGGTAGTAACGCTGAGCTGCCTGCTCACACAGCCACGACACAGAGCAGGAGTTGGCCTCACTGGGATGCAGAGCAATGACAGGTGATTAAACAGAAATTAAAAACAAAACAACAACAACAAAAAAAAAAACACTATACCAATCAGATTGGGATTTATTTTTATGTACTGCTCAAACTTAAGTTTTCACCGACCTTTGTGGAACTGGGATCAGGAAGACGTCTTCCTGAACCCGGACCCTCATTCTGATTGGTGGAGGAAGTGACGTGGGCATAGGAGCAACCAAAGTTTGAGTTGGAGGCTAGAGTAAACAAAATAAAACATTCAAGCACTGTTAAAACATCTGTATTTAATGTCATCAACTCTTTGTAGAAAGACAAAGCAGAGTCTGTACTAGAGAAATCAGGAGACCTGACGAGGGCAGTATTACGCCTTTTATACCTCCAGCCTACCGTAAATTCAGTAGAAGAAGAATAGCAGCAATGGCGCCATTGAGAGATCCCATCGCGATCCTGAATTAAGTTTGAAGATGTTGGTTTGGCCGTGTCGGTTGTTGTTGCAATAATGTCTTCAGTTCAGAATCTTAGAGAGTTTATCAAGGAGAGATTAACTTCTGCTGCAGAAGAAATCTTCTCAGAGTTTGAAAAAACGATCGTCCGGTATGAGGAAGAGATCCGTCAGCTAAGACTGCTTGATATCAGACCCGGGATAAAGTCACACAATACAGGTGTGGAGGTGTGAGGGTTGCGGGATCATCGTGTGATTCACGTGGGCATGATCTAAATGCATTGAACTAGTAATACACCACAGTAAAGTGTATGAAGTTATATCTGTGCAGTGTTGAGAAGGTTACTTTTAAAATGTTTTCCACTAAAGATTACAGAATACATGGCCCAAATGGAGTTTGTAACTATTCTATTAAGTTACTCAATGTGAATAACGTATTCTGAATACTTTGGTCCGGATTACTTTATTACTTGCTTGTTACAACTACTTGAATGTACTATTGCTGTGTGAATTATTGCTATAACTGAAGGCTACTAGCCACCGAGCTAACATTGTTAGCTGGCTTTAGCTAAAGTTATTTCATAGACTAAAGACTGTTAGACTTGATTCATAGCATTAACATCCTGCTAGCTACAAACAATCATGTGCAGTTCTGAAAGCAATCTCAAGTAAATTTTTAAATCGTGATGTAAAATGAGTAACAGTAGGGTGGACATTAGGCAAGGCTGCAGTTTTTGCAGCGATCTCGTATAGAACACAATTTCTGTATCAGTAATAGGTTTTCTTTCTGTTTGCTTTCAGAACTGCACATGATTATTTGCAAGTAGCAGGTTGTAATGCAGCCTTTAGTAATAGTAATGAGTCACACAGCAATAGTACATCGAAGATTCTGAAGTGAGACATAACCTAGATAGCTACATAAACTAATACAAGGTAGTTGCAGTAGGCTTACGTTAGGGCTGTACAATCAATAAAGATGAGGCAGAACCTGGTAGCTCCAAACAGAAGGACCAGTCAAAACAAATTGAGGATGTTATTCCTAAATGAGGGGCTCCCCCTGTTGCATGGACATGGTTTGGTTATGAAAAGTCTGACACGGATCAGAAAACTGTACTATGGAAATTATGCCCAGACTGGTTCCCACCACGGACTCAAACACGACAAACCTCTTCGACCACCTACGCATGAATCATGTGAAAGTTTGTGGAGAGAGTTTATAGATGAGAAGCAAAAAAGAGCCATCAGGTGCTCAAAATAAACCTTAGACTCATACGTTAGAACAGGCTTTTCCCCCACGTAATAAACACTCAGAAAGAAAATGGCGGCCGTTACAACATATATCTAAAAATATATAGTGCATTGGTCAAAATACTCGACTCCAGGTACACGACACCCAGCTGAAAACACTTCATGAAAGTCAAGTTGCCCGATATTCACAGAATTTACAGAAAAAGCACTATTTTGTCATATATATCATTATCAGGACGAGAAACGTCTTATATTGGGATATGAGATTTTGGTCATGTCGCACAGCCCTAGCTAATAAGATAAGATAAGATAGAACTTTATTAATCCCTCGGGTGGGTTCCTCTGGGAAATTCGACTTCCAAAAAAAGCACAGCAACGACCGAAGTTACAGTTACAGAATTGTTATATATATACACACACACACACACACACACACACACACACACACATATATAAATACAGAGACAAATATAAATAAAATATACAAAGGGGATAAATAGAATAAATAGGAATAAAAAATAAAAAATACAAGTGAATTGCACATTTCAAGTATTGAGTCTATTGCACTGTTGACTATTTACAAAGAGTATTGCACAAGGTATGTTAGTCTTTAAAAAAAGAATGTACTTCCAGATGTTTCTTTCGGGTGGAGTCTTTATAGTTGAGAGCAGCTCGGTTTCTGGGTCCATTGTATAACTGACGCCACCAACATTACCAAGACACTTACACTAGAGCTTCTTGTTGCGTGTTTTGTTTGGGTTTCCGGTAATGCGTGAAATCAACAAAATTAGAAAGGGTATAGCCTGACATATGAAACAGGAAAAGACCATCGTGTAATCCATTTATTTAGAAGTAACTGTATTCTAATTATTACCAATTTATCAGTAACTATCGGCAGCACGGTGGCACGGTGGTTAGCACTGTTGCCTCACAGCAAGAAGGTCCTGAGTTCAATTCCACCATCAGGCCGGGGTCTTTCTGTGTGGAGTTTGCATGTTCTCCCCGTGTTTGCGTGGGTTCTCTCCGGGTACTCCGGCTTCCTCCCACCGTCCAAAGACATGCAGCTTGTGGGAATAGGTTAATTGGATAATCCAAATTGCCACCCTGAAAAGGATAAGCGAATGGATGGATGGATATCGGAATACAGTTACTCATGTTTTGTATTTTAAATGCATAACGCCGGTACATGTATGCCGTTACTCCCTAACACTGCATCTATGTAAACATACTTACGGCCACTTTGTTAACTACACCCGTTCAACTACTCTTTAATCCAAAATGTAATCAGCCAATCAGATGGCAGCAGTCCATGCATTTCAGCATATAGCGATCAGTGACGGTGATTGAAATCACTTTGATCATGGTGTGGGTGTTGGTGCCACATTGGCTGATCTGAGTATTTCAGAAACTGCTGATCTGTTTAAATTTCCAGCACAAACATCTGTATGATTTACAGAGAGTAGTCCAAAAAAGAGAAAATATGCAGTTCCCTTAAAATGACATTGAGTTCTCTGTACTCGGGTCTCCAGAGTTACCAGCTCTCAACCCAACAGAGCATCTTTGGAATGTAGTGGACCATGAGATTTGCATCATATTTATTAGTAAAATGTTAAAAGATTAGCATTAACAGCATATCTTACCTGCTGTCGTAAAATACTTTAAGCTTTCATGATCATATTCAGATCATGCTACTGTTCATTTGTTTGTTTATTCACAGTGTGTGATGATCACTGGCAGTCACCTCTAAAAATCAGACCCCAGACAGCTGTAAGGTTATCAACATCATCCAGTGAACAAATGACTATCAGTGAATGTTTCTGTGGCAACATAAAACACAAGCTAAATTCTTAATAGGTGACCGTTTTCATCCTCCTTGAGCTTTCTTATCATCACATTAGTCACTATTTTCTTGTGTCCTTTTGTTGAACACGAAGGTCTGAACGATCAGCAGTTCTGTGACCAGGAGAGGAGCTCCAGTCTCAACCAGGAGGACCCAGAGCCTCTACAGACTAAAGAGGAACAGGAGGAAATCTCCACCAATCAGGAAGGAGAGCAGCTTGCACTAAAGCAGGAGGATGAAGGGATTAATGTCTGGACCGGAGAACAGCTGGATTTGTTGTGGAAACCTGGATCACGGCTGACCAGATTTGGTATGTAAAAGTGTAATAAGCAGATTTCATAATATAGAAATGAATATGACTTATAACAAAATGTCACAAAGACACATGGCGTGCATTACCGCCTGGGATACTGCCTCACTGGAGACATGTTTTCTGTTTCAGATTTAAGTCATGTTCGCCCAGAACTGTACGCAGAATGTAGAAAAATGTTGAGACAATGAAAACTGTGGATTATTGGCCACAAGGACCAAGTTGGAGTAGTGAGCTGTACGCCTCATAAATGATGACTTTCTGCATGTAAACAGAATTCTTCTCTGTTCGCTGCATGAGAGAGAATATTTAAATATCGCTCACATATCTGAGAGACCTGCTCACAGTGTGACTTTTTTCTTGTGTGTTCTGTCCATCAAGACCTCCCACAGCAACATGATTGTAAGGAAAATGAGGATCTGGATGACCCGCAGGTCTGTAGCCAGGAAAGGAACTCCAGTCTGGACCAGCAGAACACAGATCCTCCACAGACTAAAGAGGAACAGGAGGAAATCTCCACCAATCAGGAAGGAGAGCAGCTTGCACTGAAGCAGGAAACCAAAGGCATCATCATCTGGACCGGGCAGGAGCTGGGCATCATGTGGAACCCTGAAGTAAAGTTGCACAGAATAGGTATGCAAAACTTTAATAGATAGATTCAGTTTTGTATTAAGAAATCTAACTCATGTTGGGTCCTAATCAGACCTCCAATATACTTTATACAGGCACATGAAGAATTTAAAGACCGACTGCAATAAGGAAACTGACGTAATATTCTAAGAGCCAAAATGTCTAGCCCTCCCAGTGTCGCCCCTGTCAGGACTGTCTTATGTTGAAAATAATTGAGTACAAGAGAGAGGAAGACACCCTACAATGAGTTGAAACGTCAGCTTGTTATTTATTCCTCCATATTCATATTTGTCATTCATATGGTCACTTTGTTTGTCCCTCCAAATTGCAGTTGTCACTCCTTCGCCTGTGCTGCGCCCCTGCACCTGCAGGAACACTTACAGTGAATATCAAATTTAATAACAGGAAATTAACTACGCATGTACTTTTCTTTCTTTTTTCAAGTGACCTATATTTGACAACAGCATATAAAAAAACAAAACAAAAAAAGAACTTTAAATTATGTTTTTGGTGTGCCATCTCAATGTTTTCAGTGGCCCCCATATGGCCACCCATATGAAAAAATTCTGGAGCTGCCCCTGTACATTATGACTGAGTACATCCACCAAACCTTTTGTGGATAACATAATAATCCCCATGAGGACTGAACGATCAATTTAAAAATAAAATATATTGATTTGAAACTAAGCTTTTAGCAAACCACACAACACTATGATAGGTGTGTCCTTGTGCCATGTGTTTCTGGGTCTTTCTTTCTTCTTCTTTCGCTTTGGATTCCAGCACAAGGCCTGTGTAGTGATGTTATTGGTGGACTTCCTGATTGTGTGGCCAATCCAGCACCAGTTT